GTTGTTAGCCTTTGCTCTAGCATGTTTTAGGTGTAGTTTTGTGAAGCTTGTGTGCTTATTTTGCCATGCTAGAGGTCTGTCCATAGTTGTTTGGGTCGGCCATGGCATGCATTATATACCCCCTTTGCATTTTGGCTTGTTGGCCTCAAGTGTGTGAGTATGTAGCATGCACTACTTACTTTATTCTAATGATTTTGCATCATGTATAGCATAATTTCAGTCCCTTTGACATGCTTGTATGCTTGCTTTGGACACCTCTTTGAAGCTTTGGAAGCTTGACTTGCATGCTCCATGTTTTGGTCATTGTGCATGGTTTTGATTTTGAGCCATTTAGATGCCATCTAGGTGTCCCTTGGGTGTTGTTTAGGTCTGCACTAGACCTATTTTAAGTCCTCTTAGCCTTGTAAGGCTTGGTTGATTTGGTCTTAGTTTAAGCCTCTTGGCTTGCCTTAGGTTTTTGGTTTCGTTTGCATGCCTTGTTTGTCTTGTTTAATTGGCTTAATACCCTTTGTAACATGATTTTCAATGCTTACCCTGCATGCCATATGTCCATGTTATGCCTCTTTCAAGTGTGCTTGGGAGTTGCCTTTTTATGCTTAAGTGTTGGTCCTTGTGTGCATGCATGTTTGCATGTAATTTAGCCCTCATTTTATAGTACTTTGGCCACTGTTTTAGGCCTATTTAGAGTTTCCTAAATCATGTATAAGTCCTCCTTTTCATCGGTTTGCATTGCCTCATGATTGCTTGTATGCTTGCATAAGTGTCTCGCCATGCCATGTTGCATCCTTAGCTTGCATGCCTAGGTTGCATTGCATCTTGCATGCATGTCTTGTTCCTTGACTTGGTGATAGGAATTGGGCCTTGGTTCATTTGTTTGGTTTGCATTTCATTTGACATGAAAGTTGCACACTTGATTCTTTGGGCCATCATGCATGGAAATGCGTGATTGACGGTCCGAGAATCGAGACACATGTCCCTTTGAGTCATTAACATGATAAAGGACATGATTGGTGCATATATGCTTTGAATTGTATTGCCATGCAAGTTCTGTCCTCTGCTGCTGTGAGTTGCAGGTTCTGCAGGCATTCTTTTGCCGACCGGCAGTAAATCACCAGCCGATGGATTCATTATGTGCCGGTGATCACAATTCACTGCCGATGGTAATTCTACTCAGCCCGTGGTGATTCCCAGTATCCACAAAGGCATCCTTGAGACTTTGGTAGTCTTCAGAGAGGCAGAGCAAGGAAAGCAGAGGTAGGCTGTGCATGGCCGTGCACTTCCGAGCGAGACCCGAGCATGCGCTGCATTTGGCTCCCCTCCCGAGGCAGTTTACTGCTTTTTCTAGCTTAGTTAGTTTGTTAGCTAATCAGGCAATTTGTAACATTTAATTAGCTTGCGTAGTTAATTAATTTGTATTATTTATTCGGTCCCTCCGAGCGAGGGCAAATCTGTAATAAGTGTGTGTGAGTGGCGTGTATGTCTTCCAATCCCCACCTCTTTCTTCCCTTTTATTTACCTGCTTTGATGGTTAGTATTAGGGCACGTTTAATTTAGCATACCTGATGCAATGCATGCGTGCATTCATACATTTGTCTTGCATGCACCAGGCTCGGTACATCACGCTAACTGCATTTGTATTTCAATTCCAAATCGAATACGTGCATCAATTGGTTGCATTTCACATGCCATGTTTAGGTTAGCCGAGCCTATCTAATCACATTCTGTATGTGCTGCATTAGTCAATTCAACATGAACTAGGACACGCATGTTTGCTAACTGGTTCATTGTTTTGGCATGGAGTACGACGTAAGTATTTTCGCTTTAGCACATTGCATGCGTGTGAATGTGGCCATGATAGTATGCTTACCATGTGGCTAAATGCTTATATGAGATAAACTGTTTGAATGCCTGTGGGTGAATGTTGGATTGTTTGAGTTGGAAGAACTCGTTGAAATCCGTATTTTAGCCTACTTTCGAGTATCAAATTCCAAAACATTTTTCAAAACAAACGGATATGCAATGCTTGTTTCCAAATTAGGCAATCTAGTCTATACATGTTTGTTGTGCGCATAACATAGTAATTCTAGGCTAATAACCGGAATAAGAACACATAACATTTTCAAAATCGGATATCATGGTTAGTAGAGGCCGATCTTCGGATCGGGCGAGAGGGGGTGCTCATAGCTGACCTTCCCCAATCGTACCCTAGCTCCCGAGCCGAGACAACTCCGGTGATGACGGACATGTGGCCTTCGGCACCGAGTCAGGGTTTCCTAAATTCCCCCATAAAAAATATTTAGGTGGCGACTCTGTATCTGGCAAAGTAGTCCATGTTTGGCACTTCTTTTCAAAATTTGTTTCTGAAAACGATTTGCCAGATTTGGACTCTTTGGTTCAGATTAAGAACCGTGACACAAATCGAGTCCAAGCTGTAGTGACCCCACAAATGAACAGAACGGGAGCTCACCCTCCCGGGGCGTTTGGGGACGTCTACACTCTGTCTCTCTTCTCTTTCTCTCTCTCTCACTTATCACTCTTCTCTGTCTGTCTATCTCTCTTTTTCTCTCTGTGCCTCTATTTTTGTCTTTGTCTCTCTTCTCTTTCTCTTTCCCACTCATCACGCTTCTCTATCTACCTGTCTATCTGTCTCTCTCTCTCTCTCTCTCTCTCTGTGTCTCTTGCTCATTTCTCTTCTCTCTATCTCTCTCATCTCTCTTCTCTCTCCTCTCTCTCTCTTATCTTTATCTCTCTCGCTCATCTCTCTCTGTCTCTTTCTCGTTTATCTCTTTTCGCTCTTTTTCTCTCTCTCTCTCTCTATTTGTCTATCTCTTTTCACCCATTTTTTCATCTTTCTCTCTCTCTTCTCTTTCTCTCTCTTACTTATCACTCTTCTCTCTTTGTCTGTCTATCTGTCTGTCTGTGTCTCTCACTCATCTATCTCTTCCTATCTGTCTGTCTGTGTCTCTCACTCATCTATCTCTTCTCTCATCTCTTTTCTCTCTCTGTCTCTTTCGTTCATCTCTCTTCTCTCTATCTCTCTTCTCTCGCTCTCTCTCATTTCTCTTCTCTCTCTGTCTCTCCCGCTCATCTCTCTTCTCTCTATCTCTCTCTCTGTCTCTCTCGTTCATCTCTCTTCTCTCTATGTCTCTCTCGCTCATCTCTCTTCTCTCTATCTCTCTCTCTGTCTCTCTCGTTCATCTCTCCTCTCTCTCTCTCTCACTCATCATTCTTTTCTATCTGTCTATTTTTGTCTCTGTCTCTTTTCTCTTTGTCTCTCGCTCATCTCTCTTCTCTTTATCTCTCTCATCTTTTTTCTTTATCTATCTCTTTCACTCATCTCTCTGCTCTGTCTCTCTCGCTCATCTTTCTTCTCTTTCTATCTCTCTCTTTTTCTATGTCTTTCTCTCGATCATCTCTTTTCGCTCTCTTTCTCTTTCTCTTTGTCTATCTCTTACTTATCTCTTGTGTCTCTCTGTCTCTGTCTCTCTCTTTGTGTCTCTTTCTCTATCTCTCTCTATCTCTCTCTCACTCATCACTCTTCTCTCTCTGTCTTTCTCTCTCTATGTCTGTCTCTCACTCTTCTCTCTCCCTTTCTCTCTGTGTGTCTGTCTGTCTGTCTGTCTCTCTTCAATGGTTTTGTTATTTGTTTCCTTCCCCTCTTCTCTATTTACCGAGCTCTTCACTACAAGAAAATGCACTTTTAGCGACCACTCTGTCTCTCTCTCGCTCATCACTCTGTCTCTACTACATTCACCATTACTACAAATGTCATTCCACTACCAGCATTATTACCATTGTTGCCACTCCACCTCTACGACTACCATTACTACCACCATCGTTGCCACTCCACTACCACTACCACCACTACTACTATTACCTCTCCCCTACCACCGCCACTCCATCTCCTCTACCACTACCACAACTTCACCACTAATCTCCTTCGCCATCACCACCACCACCACCACCACCATCACCTCTTATCTACCATCTTCACCACTACTGTCGCTCCCTCTCCTCTACCACAAAAAAATAGTTCTTGATTTTTATTAACAAAAAAAAAAAAATGGGCCACAAAAAAATATTTTTCATTAACCATAAAAAATTAATTTTATTTTAACGAAAAATATTTTTATTAAAATATTACCCCTACTTTTACCCAAAAAAAAAATAAAAAATACTTTAAAATAAAAATGAAATAAATTTTCCCCCTTTGTTCACTGACCCGCCCGTCTAAACTTAATTTTGTCCCTTTTTTCCCTCTGCCTTTCCCCCTATTTTTTCATTTCCTTTCAGGTTTGCAAGAGCCCTAAGTTTCGAAACAACACTGTCTTTCTCTCTCACTCTCACTCTCTCTCTCTCTCTCTCTCTCTTTCTCTCTCAGAGGTGAGCGACGAGCAGCGAATTTTGGTTTGGACGAGTGACCAGCAGGACCATGATTCTCGACAAGGGTCAGTTTCTCGAGACCGAGAAAATGTTCCGTGACGCCGGTGGGCAGTGGCTTGTTATTATCCCTGAGGAAGAGATCCCCCAAGCACCCCCTGGTACTAAGGTAACAGTTTCTGATCAAATCTCGGCATTTTTTTATTCATACATTTGATCAAACAGTTTGTGGGTCTTGATTTTTCTTTCTTCATTATTGTTGTGGGTTTGATTTTTTGTTACATGAATTTGATGGGTTTTTTGTTTTATTCAAATTTTCTTTTCTATATATATATGTATATATATTATGAGCAATTGGTGGATTCTTCAATCATGCGTCTTTATGAAACTTGTGAGAGATATTTGGTTCAAAGTTAGAAAAATTTTCAGATCTGATTTATGGGTCGAATTGCTTGACATTGGTACGTATACCCATAAAAAGTGGTGAATATTTCAAAAAAAATATGCCAAAATATTTACAGATCAAATTATTGCATGTCGGAGGAATTCAAAAGTGCACAGGTCAGTGTAGTACTCTTGAAGGGAGAGGGAGAGAGAGAGGGAGAGCAAGGGAGAGAGTTTTTTGAATGAGTATAGTTGTAATCTGAATTATAATTAACCGGAATTCGGAAATAAGCATAAAGGGCACTGACTAGCTGTACAGATCAAGGTGTCTAAGAAACTTCAAAGATATCACAGGTCAAAAAGACCTAATTGAAATGCTCGACCATTGAAATTTCCTCATTGTGGCTGGATCATGGAACATAAACAATTTTTCAGATTAAGTTGACTATGACAACATAATCCAAGGTGTAGAAGTGGGGTGAATTAGGTCTTGCGTTGTTATTGGATACCATATCACGGGGATTATAGATACTTTCTTTAGACAAAATATGCCATTGTTCTTAAAAATTTAGAAACTTAAATCAATCTTAACCCCTCTTATTTACATCTTGAACAGAAGGTTCTATAAGCTTTAAGGCAATGGAAGGTGTGACGATAGCAACACAGCTCCTCCGTGCATAGGGTATCATCAGCCTATAACTCCTAAAAATGTTCTTTAATCTTTTGTTCTATATCATAATTGGTTCTTTAATTGCTGAGAAACCACTTTTTTCTGTGGTGAACTAAATTCATGTGTTGTCTCGAGAAAAAGACAAGTTTTATACTTAATGCAATAAAACAAATTTTGTCACGCAGTTGGGTGGAATTGATGGCACCTGTGTTCTCAAAAGCAGCCTGGCGATGTGCATGGTATATGCTCCAGGTATAGGGTATTTCTTTTGAATTGAGTACATGCAATGATCATAATGAGTGAATTGGTTCTCAACGTTTGTCTGGAACAATGGGTGAGGGTTCTAAAATAGTATCAATGAATTATGATTTCCATGAGATTTCTTGTTCACTTTAATTAGGTTATTAGGTTAACATAGGGTCTATTTTTCATATGTATGTGTAAAGTGTACACGTAGGAAGCATAGGCACGGACACAAACACAGACATAGACAAGGGAGATAGTGATTTCAAAAAAATGAGAACACAAACACGGCAAAAAAAATATTTTTTTAAAATATTTTTTATTTACAATGTAGATTAATATTATATCCACAAACAATAAAAAATTAACACTAATTAATAAATAATAAAAAAAAACTTACCAGATTTAAATAATTAATAGATCATCCATCTTTAAGATAAAAATTATAAGAGTTAACTTAAGACAAAGAAGTTAGAGAAATGCTATATGTCACCGGTTTTTTGTCTTCTACATGAATACTCATGATTGGTTCTCTTGTTTTAAAATAATTATTAATCAATTAATGGAAAAAAATAATATTTTGACATATGATTCTTTGATATAAAAGGGTGAAAAAATAAGTGTGATACAGCAATTCTCAAGAAGGTCAACCAATACACCATTAGTTCATTACAATCTAGACAAAAATTTATAAACATCCAAAATCCATCAAAAGCACTAAAGAAGAGGGAGGAAAATTAGTTGTCCTGTCCCTGCCATGTCCCCGCTGTGTCCCCAAAAAACAAATTAATTAAACACCAGCTGGCGTGTCCCATACATGTCTGCCATGTCCTTGTTTTGTTCGACACCACTACGACACCTGTTTTGGAGTGTAGACGCTTCATAGTTGTATAGCTTTTGTCAAAAATGAGGGAAAGTAGATGCCTTGATTGTTTTTGCAAGCAGTGCGTGTTGTCCGTTTCTGTTGTTATTGTTTTCTAATGATTTTTTTTTAACCCCAACAGAATGACTTGATCCATGCATGGGGCCTGGATTTCCAGCTTGGTTATTGTGCACAGGCAATTTTCTAATTCCACTTCTCTGTATGACTATTGATTTGTGGACGGTAGTGATATGTTGACCACTTTTTTTATAGAGTGATAGGACAAAAAATGTTGGTGTGGTTGACTCTGAGTATATAGTTCATTTGGGTCTTCCAACACTTGGTGTTTTAGATGGCACCAAGGTAAGTAATTCTCACATTTATGTGAGCAATTCATTTCCATAGGAAACTCATACAGTAGATTCTTACAAGTCTTATGATTTGTGCCAATAAATTTTTACATTGAAGTTCCAAAAATTTTCAAAAATTTATAAAATGGAAATGTTCTATTACACCAAGTCTTGCTTCATGAGCTGTCAATGCAAGCATAAGCCTGGCTTTGCTTGAGTAAGTCTACCAAGCTAGCCAGTGGAAGTTTCCCACCCTAGAGCTCAAGATTTTTGAGTCCCATCTATGTTGGGCGGACTAAATTAAAAACAGGAGAGGGGGTTTCCTACATAGCATTGGCGTGAGAAGGGCACTTGACATGTTAGGGACCTATCAAAACTATGCATTTTACATCCATCCTCCTGATGTTTTTCCATTGTCTTCTTCCCCCTCCACCGTGGTCGCAATGCTCATTGATTTACTCTGTGTTAGATGACCCAAAAATTTGATAATAGTCTTAATAAAAATAGTAATTGTCCTTTATTCTGGTCTAACTTCACAGTCCACCCAATAATTTGACACAAAAAAATCAGTGTCAAAAGGTGGGAACAAAAAAAAAGTATGTTGTATTAATTCAAAGTGATCATTGATTTGACCTAACCGTCATGCTATTATGCACAGCATTAACCTTGCCCTTTGAGTTGTCAACTAATACTATTTGTGCTTGTTCATGTAATTGAGTTATAAATCACCAGATCATTTGTCTCAAGTAGAGAATTTTTCAGATTCAGATTGCAGTTTATTCCTTTTATTTTATTTTCTTGTTGAATCGATACTGAGAACTTGTCATCATTGAAATTGCAAGAACCATCTGGCTTGCAAAGAGTTAATAATAGAACTGAAGTAAGTCCCTTGGTTTCACTATAGGAAAGTGTATCTTCTTTCTAGGAGTACTCTGTAGATTCTGTTGGTTCTTTTAATCTGTGTGCTCAAACAACACTAAATCATTGAAATTGAAACTGAAGTCATGCACATATATATTATATCATGTGCTTTAAGCTACAAGGACAGTTGTATCTCAGTGGTTTTTGAACTTGGAACATGCTATGTTGGTGGTGTGAAGCAAAGTCCAACGTCACCTTGGTACTAAAGTAATGTGAAGTAAAGCGTGAGGGCATTTTCAGCTCAACCCAATGGTATTAGAGCCAGAGTATTCAAGGATGGTTAGTGTGTGTCCCTGGTCTGCATGCGGTAGGTGCTACCAGATGAGCACGTTGCAAGTGAGGGAGGGTGTGAAGCAAAGTCCCACATCACCTTGCTAGCGTGAGGGCACCCCGACCTCAACAACTAACTTTTGAAGTTGAGTTTTACCCAAGACCATGTAACATGAAGCTCTTTTTTTTCTTTGTTTAATTATCAAACTAGAAAGAGCATTTTACAAGTTACGCGGAACTAGAGAAAATCTTCATGGGAATGCATGAAATATATCCCTCCAAAAAAACACTAGTCTTGCAATATATTCATTTGCACTAGTCATAATGTTGCCATTGCAAAATATGTTGAGGGAGTGATATTTTTTTATTCTTGTTTCATGGCAAGTATGCTACATTACTATCTTGGATTTTTTTTCGGCTTTTTTGTGTAAATGAGCACTTTGTTTATTTCAGTTTTTTTTATTTATAGTAAGGGCCGTTACTCTGAAAACTGATGATTTGTCTCCATCACATCTGTTTTCATTCATCTGCATCTGTTCTTTGGGCACCATTGAGTGATGATATGTGTGCAAGTGAGGAGACAGTCCTTTATGGAAATGCAGATTTTCAAGAAAAGATGGAACAATGCAGTGAATGACGACAAATGTTGGGTCAATCCATAGCAACAACCTATTGAGCAGAAAAGCCGTTACCTTATAATCTATACTACATATTCTTTAATTAAACAAGGTACAAGGTTTGCGATACTCACACAATCATACCCCACAATAGAATCTTCAATCATTTATGATACATTCAAATTCCCAAACGATATGGAAATTGTTTCGAAGTGCCTTGGATGCAAAGTGGGGTTCACAGTACTTCAACGTTGGTCTTTATGTTTCTTATGACAGTCACTGCATTTATTGCTCATTTTAGTACAGCTCAACACTAGATCAAAGGAAAACTTTGCATAACGGCCCAAATGAAAGATCTTAGGTGTTATTTGTTGATCAATGGAAATTATTCAGATTGTATTTGTGTTCAACCAGCAAGGATATATCCCAATTAGATTGAGACACCCTTCACAAATCCCATTGTAACAGCTCCAGTAGCACAAAGCAACAATTACAATTTATAACAGCACATGAGGTAAAAACACATTAACCACAAGACCCATCAGCAACTTAGCATCAAACTCTTCACAACCCTTGACTCCCAAAAACACTTTGCCTTACCTCAATGCAAAATAAGTAGCATCAAAAATATGAGTAGAAGGTAAGTGTTTTAATTTTTTGTCTGGTGTTTGTGGGTAATATGCTTGTGATACAGAAAAGGGTTTGTTGTTTTGCTGGGGCTTGTGTTGATAAAAAGTGGTATTTTGATGGTATTTGTCTCTGTGTTTCCCATGGCTAGGCATTTTTAGTCATCATGAAGGATCCCTTTTGTGTTTTTGAATTGTTCTTATGCCTTGGTGTCCCCTTCATCTTTTTTCTTTTAATGTTAGAATTGATATATACATATGAATAGTCTATACCTTCGCTAGGCATTTGTTAATGTTTCCTTTACTAGGAAAGAAGATGATGTTAATGATGTTTAACTATTGTAAAGTTGAACAATAGTTAGAATTGATATATACATATGAATGATGTTTTATTTACAAAATGGTATTGATAGTCATTTAATTTGTTAATGTTTCCTTTACTTTCCATGTACATTTTTCATATTTTGTCCAACTTTACAATAAAGTGATGTGCAAATATTTTCAACAAAAAGTTGCCTGACATTATTTCTCATTTTCTTTGGTACAAATGGATGATCTCGTGCACGAAGCTAAATTGTACAGGACTAATTGCCACTATAAGCATTTTTGGAAGGAATATATATTTTTGGATAGATGTATGTATGGAAAAGATTTGGGTGGACTAGTAGTTATATTTTTTGATAGACTAGTAATTATATTTTTGGATGGATGTGTATGGAAAATATTTGGGTAGATTACTAGTGTGCATATTTTTTGATAGATGCGCATGGATAACAATTTAAAACATAATAACAAGTAATTGTTATGTTAGATGGATGTGACTTTGATGATTATATAGATTACAAGTGAATTTTTAATTGGAGGAATATGTAGTTTGAAATTACTTGTGGATGAAAACTTATAATAATTGATGACTTTCATTAAACAGGTTAAATATTGGATGATTTATGTATTTTGTCGAATGTTTATGATTTAGTTGATTTGAATGATTCTTTCAAATTACATTTGGAGACTAAATAAGGTAGGCGAGAGGGTACATTTGGCGACCAAAGGATTTCGTCACTAATAGGTCAATTGCGGACTAAAGTTTTAGTAGCGTAAACATTCTTTTTTGCGACTAACATGTTTGGTGGTGGAGGAATGTGACAATTGGCGACCGAACTTTTTGGTCACGGAATGTGTCAATTGGCAACCAAAATTTTTGGTTGCCAATATGGGTTTTTGGTCGTGGAATGTGTCATTTGTCGACCAAATTTGCTGGTCGCGGAATGTATTTCCGACCAAACTTTTTGGTCGTAGAATGTGACAATTGGCGACCACATTTTTTGGTCACCAAAATGGGCCACAATTGCCGACTAAAGTTTTTGGTCGTGGAAAATGAATTAGAATTGCCGACCAAACTTTTTGGTCGTTGAATGTGCGAATTGGCGACTAACATGTTTGGTCGGAAAAATATAATTTTTCGCAACTAAAGTGTTTTAACTAGTAAATGGATTAGTCGCAATAATTATATATTTAGCGACCAAAAATTTAGTTGGCCAATAGAACTTTTTCAGGACTAAAGTGTTTTAACTACTAAATAGATTAGTCGCAGTAATTATATATTTAGCGACCAAAAATTTAGTCGGCAAATATAACTTTTTCGCATTACTTTCCGCGACCCTCAATTGGCAACCAAAGTAGCGACCAAAAAAATTAGTCGTGGATAACTTTTGCCGACTAAAAATGGACTTTTGCCGACCAAATTTTTAGTCGGCAAAAGTGTGAATTCTTGTAGTGCACACGGGGGATCAGCCCCCTTGGTTGACCTCTCTCTCTCTCTCTCTCTCTCTCTCTCTCTCTCTGTGGTTTTGGAGCATAGTTAATCATCATCTGCAACAAAATAGACAGGAAGACACACACAAAGGGAGTGGGGCGGCTGCTCAGAGCTGCCTCTTCTCCCTCTCGGCACCTCTCTCTCTCTCTGCTATAACACATAGACACACCCAATCAAGGAGATGGTTCAGTCTCTCTTCTCCCCAGCTGCCCACATGGCTCTTCAGACCTCGTGTTCCAAGTTTGCGTCGTTCAATCTCCACCGTCCATCCTCCTCAAATTTCCCCCCGTCACAGCCGCTGTTCCACCAGCGGCCGCTCCCGCTGCTTCATCTCCGGCCCCTCCTCTCTCTTCCTGCCAGGAGCACCAGTGCACTGGCATTCGACTTCAAAGGTGGCAAAGGGTACTCCCTTCTACTCTCCAATTTTTCATTCCTATTTATTTATTGTCTTGTTAATATTTCTAATCTCTTTTGATAAGACCATCTCCAATGGTTCACCAAAACTCATATCAAATTTAAATTTTGATAAAAAAGTTACTATTCACTGCTTCAATGGTTGCACCAAATGAATATCAGATTGAGATTTCATCAAAGAATTCATCAAACTGACGACGAAATACTGATTTCACCAAAACACTGTTGGTGACCGTTGGAGGGAGGACCCGGTCGACCAACCGGTTGCCTGGCCTGTTGACCAACCGGTCAAACTGAATGTGGAAGATTGCAAGTGTCTCCTGGTGAGATTGTTCTTTTACCTCAAGGATTTTGTTTCGCTGCTGACCTGCTCCAACCGCTGCTACGCCGCCATTCCGCTAGCTGGTTTGCAGTCCTCATCAACACCATACTCTCTCTCTCTCTCTATCTCTCTCTCTTTCTCTCTCGGGGCTTCAAAAGAATGTGAAGCAGCAGTTGTGGGAGAGGTGTTCGCAATGCGGCTAAACGTGGAAGGTGCTCATCATGGACAAAGTGACTATTAAAATACTGCTTACTCATGCAAGATGGCTGATGATCCGAGGAGCCAAGAAGCATCAATTGGGTCTGTTAAAGAATTACGGTCTGGTATGTGATGGTGGTGTTCTGTTGGATGACAACAAAGAGGAGCTTGTGGGTTTCAGCCACAATAAATATTGGGTCTCCACCTATGATAAATATTGGGTGTGAAGGACCTTCTTTCCATTGAAAGGGTTTGCAAATCCAGTGATGCAGTTCAAATGATCCACTTCTGTGGAGGAGTATTCACATAGATCAGCCATTAAGTGACAAGATCACTGATGATGCTCTATTATAGTTAACTAGCAAGCAAGGTTCTAAATCGCGGTATCGAGTAACGTAACGGTATCGATCGCGGAGTATTGGTATCGGTAGTATCGATCGGTACGTATCGGGAATCGGGTGTCGCGGTGGTGAAATTTTAAAAATCATTTCAAAGGTATTTCAACTTTTTGTTTCCCGTACTGGTCCGAACTGGTGAATATCGGCCCGTTGCGACTTGTGTAACGGCTTGTGTAACGCTTACAGGCCGATACGTACCGGGACTCGGCCGATACTCCTGTGATTTTCAATCTCAGTGGTATATCGGCCTGTATCCGTCGCGGTACCCCATTTTTCCAATACGTATCGGCCGATATTTAGAACTATGCTAGCAGGGCTCAAGGCACTCTTCACTGCTTGAGTCTAGTGGAGTGCTTGAGGATCTCCGATAGTGGATTGAGGCGTGTGCTTGAGTGCAATGCAGGGCTGACAAAGCTAAGTGTGCCAGGATGTGTGAATCTTAGTGTTGAAGGTATCTTGTGCAACTACATGGCTTTGATTCCTTGAGCATATTCTTCCATGATGACATGTAATCATGTGGGGCCTCCATAGTAGATGAGTTTACATGGGCTGAGGCGTTGAAGACGCACGGATCTTTGTTAGTTGATGAATGGGTGGGGGTTTCAAACTTTTATTTTTATTTTGAGTGTTTGTGAGGGTTTGATTTGATTCACCTCCCTTGGATCTATAATAATTAAAGTGTTATAATAATTCCTCACTCTGCTTCTTTCTATCCCATTCTTTACTCGCTTTCCCTAACTGTGCCATGCATATCCATGCTTTTATATCCATGTTTCATGCATTAAGATTCGGCTAAATTGGCATTTGTGGATTTAATCAATTCTTATGTGATTCTATTCACTACCGTATGTTCTTGAGATGATTTACATGTCATATTTTAAAAGTCAAATTTTTGGTTACATCTCATGTGTGAATTGCATTAAAATTTGTATATAAGATCATGCATATTTTACTAACTTTGTTTTGTACCTATTCGCGGGACGTCGGTAAATATGTGAGTCGTTATGCTTTAGCATCCCGTTTGTACATAATTTTCTCATTATGTTTAGCATCTTACCATGAGGCTAAGTGCTTAATTGATATGCTGCTTGAATGCTTGTGGATGAAGCTTGTTGCTTGAATTGAAATGATTTGATGAATGTACGTTTAAGCCCACTTTGTCAAGTAGCAAATTTACAAACTTTAAGCCCACTTTATAGTGGCAAATTCACAAACTTTAAGCCCACTTGAGGTGGCAAATTCAAACCCTTTAAAAAACAAACATGAAATTGAAATTGAAATTGAAATTATTCCAATTCTTGCAAAATTAGTCTACAACTT